CGAGCCTCTAAGCTCGAACGGCGCGGCGCGCCTACTAGGCCATCCCCGCTCCTCGCAGCCCGCGCGCCGTGCGCTCGGTGGGCTGTGCCTTCGGCAATAATAGGTCGGGGGGACGCGCGTATTTGGCTATCTTTTAAACGTTAATATCTCGTTAACTATTGCTGACACTTCAAAATGGTACAGGACTTTTTGATTCAGTATAGGCTGTTCTACCCACGTATGACAAAAAATGCGGTAGTCGCCAAACACCCTGTATAGATATAAGAATATCATAACACTTCCGAAAACCAAGATATTTTGAAAAAAAGGAAGAAAGTAATTTCAAAATTAAAAAAAAATCGTTTTTTAAATAAATTAGTTTTTCAAAAAATGATACAAGATTTTAATCTACAGAAATCGAAACATATATTCGAAACATATATCGAAATATTAAGTTGTATTTTAAGAAAAAAAATACATTATTACGAATTATCCTAAAAAATATATTTATTTGACGAGGTTGAATTTAGGTGTTATTATTACTTTTCAAGTAATATGATAAAGTTAGTGCAAAAGTCTTTATTATATGACATCTAAATATACAAATAAAATTATTCATTGATTTGCGTGGAACAGGCGAAACAAATTTTAGCGACATGTTCCCTACACATTGGCTGTTGGTACTGTAAGCATATGTAATAAGTTTTCCTATCTAAAACTCCTGGACAGAATGAACATCTTCTTTGTTCTTCTATTTTGTTTACTGCTAATATATTACGCGGATCTTGAGTTTCTAGAATGTCTGTGTGTTTCATGAATTCTTCGATTCGAATTCGCATTTGAATTTGATCTTGTTCGTATATTTACAATTTGATTTTGAAATAAAAAACATAATAACCATACAGGATTAGCGTAACCCACACAGTAAGTTCATGGCGTTCTATCTCGACTGGTTCGTGCACGCTGAGGTTGCCAGGCGGGGGATTTGTAGTAGGGATGTGAAAGTTTTTTCCTTCCCTTGTTCCCACTCCACACTTCTGATCGTTCATAAATGCCACATTTTATAATTCAATTGACGCGTTTTTTGATGTAAAGAATTTTAAAATTTCATTAGACATACTCGTCACTCCAGATAGAGTGGACGAAGTTTGAACAAAGCCACATCAATTGTATTATAAAATGTTATGTGAGTTTATTATAAAATATTAGTGTGAATATTAATAGATTATCCAAGGTTTCATGATGAGATTTGGCGATCATGTGACTAACACTACAGTTTTGGCAACCTGACTCTACATCGGACGACCGTGAAATTTAATTTGGTTAAGAAATTTGCTGATGAAGATTCCAAAGAGAATCGAAACGTTCAAGATGTCAATATTTCAAATAAAGATGAGATCAACACATCACATGAAGTAACAAATTTTATTTGTGAAGATTTATTGCACACCTTCGCTCGCGCTGACTTTCATTAGCCCACATTTAGGTTATTTTTTGTTATTTTAAGAAGAGAGAGTCCTTGTTTAATACATTTATTAATTTTTACTATAGTATATATGTTTCAGACTTACTATATCAACATATTTAATTCTTTTCATGTTAAAAATAGTTTATCTATTGATATTATATTATTACAAAAATGTTTACCATGTGAACGAACATGATTATGAATTTATTTTGAAACATGTAGTATTTTGCTATTAAATTGATATTTTGTTATATGATCCGACATTAATTATGTGTACGTAATGTTCAAATAAATTCTGTATAGAAGCAACAATAATTTCTTAATGAAAATGTCATTGTACATTTGTATAATCTTGAAGTTGTTGAGAGGGCCTTGAAGCACCTTCACCACTTGTCAATTTCGTCATGCCTGAGCGCGCGAATATCAGCTCCGTGATTAGTAAACTTTGATTCCTGTTACGTCCAAAGTTCCGCACGCATGGAACCTGAGGGGGTGAACGTAACAGGAAACTTGTCTACCGTCGTTGTCGGATCCTAGCTCCGGACCGCAAGGGAGCGAGATGAGAAAACCAACTCGGACGGGAGGCACTTCGCTTCGTCCTTAGGCCCTAGAAGAGCCGAGGGTCTGAAGGGGGACGAAGTGGAAGCCTCGCTCGAAGTCGTTGCTCCGCTGAGCGGCTCCCCGAGGCGGACGCACACGCTAAAGGCCGGGAAATGGGTCAGTGTGCCTTAGGGGCACACTTCTATGGGCCAGTACGTCCGAATGTCCTTATTTTCGGCCTTGAAAATAAATCCAAAGGGGATTGGACTAAGTGCAATCGTGGTGTGACGTTACGAATACGAGATGTTGCTTATAAATAAAATGGTCAGAGTTTAATAATTACGTAATTTAATTAAAATTTGAATTGGCATTACATTATGTTTATCAATTTAAAAAATATATAATATAATGTGCGTGCGTGCGTGCGTGCGTGCGTGCGTGCGTGAAAAGGAGTAAATTACGGAGAGGATAACAAGAGAATGAAAAGGAAGGGGAGTTTTGGTGAGTGGATCTGAGAAGGTTTGACCGAATTTTCTTTGAACGATGATAGTATTAACGCGAACACATCCGGTTGATAGGGGCGAACAATTATCGCGAGGGGGACAGCGACGGGGATTGAAGTTATAGCGTGAACAGACTGCAATGTTTTATTTTCTTTTGGAAACTAAAAAGGGAGTAAGAAAGAAATAAATAAATAAAAAAAAAATCACAACAATAAATGAATAACTGAAAAGAAACTAAATGAAATATTGAAATGAATTACTGAAAGAAAAACGGAGAGGGATTGGAGAATAGAAATATACCGACTTACTACTGAGATGCTCATCGGTGGAAGTTCTCTGGACAGGATGTGCAAGGTTGACGGTGTTCTTCAGCACTGACTCTAAACTCTAAGCTTTACGGATTGATTATGAAAAGAAATGTTTTGTTTAGCGGGTCGACTCCGAGAAAAGATTCTGTCTGTCTGTCTGTGTGTTAACTCCCGAGAAAATTATTTAATTAGTACATGTTCCTTCGACTCCGGAAAAAAAATAAAAAGGCCTAGTGCCCGTCTGACTTCGGAAAAAAATAAAAAGGCAAAGAGACCGTCTGACTTAAAAAAAAATAAAAAGGCAAAGTGTCGAAAAGACGATGAGACACAAAAAGACCGACAAGACGAAAGACCAAGAGGCATAAAAAAGACGCTCAGGACCATGCGATTTATATAGCGGTTTTTCCCTTAATTGGTGGGGTTCTAATTTGGGTGGTGGGATGTTTTTCTGGGTTTTGGATTGGTCGAGATTGTGGGGGAGGAAAGAAGTCGGTTGGTATCAACAAATGTCTTCTTAAATTTATGATTCTTCTAAATTTATGGGAAAATGCACGTGCATTGTCGGCACGCGTCCGTCAAACACTTTCCCTGGACTTCGCGTGTCACTTTTATATTTTATGGTCGCGGATATCGTGAGAATCATCCACGACTTACTTGTCGGAAAAATGTTTAGGCGCCAGTACTGACATTAATTGTCGTTTTTAATGGCGCTGTCCAAGGGAAGTGTCATCGGCGATGCATTAGTTCCCTGCGTTCACCGATTCTAACTTAATTTTATTTAACGTTAATGGAAACACTGGAGTCTTTTGCTTTAAACTTTCTCGTGGGAAAGATTTTTATTATTTTTCTTAGAAGTCTTAGGGGTTGATAATCCTAGGTCTCCGTGAGAAAGAGAAAAGAGGCAGCGTGAGTCCGCTGGATGTAACAATTTCTATTAATTTAAAAACTAATTACAGCCTCGATTTTCATATTAGTATTTTCGTCTTAGAATGTCGTCAAAGAATCCATTCTTAAAAGGATGTTTGTAGGTTTTGAAGCACCCTGTATATGTATACATTAATTTGTTTCTCTTTTATTTTATAGATAATTATATGCTTCCGAAAGGTGTCATGGTCATATTGGCAATCTTATTAACACACCGAAGTCCAGTGGTTTGGCCGGATCCATTGAAATTCGACCCGGATCGCTTTCTTCCAGAGAACTCGAAGAACAGAAATCCGTACGCCTATGTTCCGTTCAGTGCTGGACCAAGAAACTGTATAGGTCAGAAATTCGCTCAACTCGAAGAGAAAATTGTGTTGACTGCCATTCTCAGGAAATGGAGAGTGAAAAGTGTGAAAACAGTCGACACGATTAAGTTCGGCGGCTCTCTCATTTTACGACCAAGTGAAGATGTATTAATACATTTCACGCCGAAGAAATCATTCCTCACAGCACCAGATATTACATTAAAGTTATAGGATGGTTACAATCTTACATAGTTTTGTGGAAAGGTTACTGGTGTATGCCACTAACCTTACAATGTAATCTTACTTTATAATATTGTCGGAAGGTTAAGAGAATCTTATGTTAATATTTCAACAACCTTATATGAACCTTACATTTTAATATTGTTGGAAGGTTAACGGAATCTTGTGTCAATATATTTCAGCAACCTTGTATGAACCTTATATTTTAATATTGTTGGAAGGTTAATGGAATCTTATGTCAATATTTCAGTAACCTTGTATGAACCTTATATCTTAATATTGTTGGAAGATTAATGGAATCTTATATCAATATTTCAGCAACCTTGTATAAACCTTATATTTTAATATTGTTGGAAGGTTAATGGAATCTTATGTCAATGGGCACGTTCAAATTGACAAAGCGGCTAGCCTGCTCGCCGAGCAAATGAACGTAATTGGTTATTACTTATAGATCCAATCATATTCGATTGCTCGGCAAGCGTACCTAGCCGCTTTGCCGTCTTGAACTCGTCCAATATTTCAACTTATGAATATAATCGCTCTATAGATTTTTGGTACTGGCAATAAATTTTGGACACGCAGTCTCACTATACTAATATATATATACCCAGATAATCAAGCATGCGGTAATGCGAAATATGTACTGCGAAAGTACAGCGTATGATTGCTTAACCTGAAAATAGTCGTTATAACATTAAAATTAAATATTAGATAGTAACTAACTGGATGTTCAGTTGAACTGCACAAATTTCTATCAGGACCATATATTGAAGAGATGTATCATAGCTATACACCCATAATTATACAGGTGTTCGTGGATCATTGAAGTGCAGTGATTTCCAGACGATTTCAGAAGTCAAGGATAGTAAATGGCGGTATGCAATTGGATGGGTGACCGCTTCGAAGTACTATGAAATTAGTTCCCGAATTCAAAGGAAAATTCAGGAAAATTTTTTTTTTAATCATAATTTTATGATATATATTCTGGAATAAGATATTAATCAATAATAATACTCATTTTAGCAATATATATATATATGTATGTATATATATCCCTATTAGTAGTACGGGATACTTAAACTAGAGGTTTCTGGGATGTTAATGTAATCAGTTTGGAAGATCATTTTCATGCTACTGGGAGGTTAATAGTAGGTTTATTAATTTCCGTTTAATGTTACAATCTTACAACGTCCTTGGCACATTGTAGGAATATTAATACAACCTATCATGCCAGATTTCTGGGATGTTAATGTAATCAGTTTGGACGATCATTTTCATGTTATTGAGAAGTTAATGGTAGGTTTATTAATCTCCATTTAATGTTACAATCTTACAATTTAAAGTTACTGTAACCTTATTTCAATGTTGATGTGCTGTGAGGGTAGGATTACCTGACATAGCATACCCACGTTTAAATAATATAAGATTTTGACTACTACCCCCTTCTTTAACTCTTTTTATTTTAAGAAATTTTGTATATTTAGGTACTGGGGCGAGCCGGGCGAGATGAATCCTTTATCCCCCACTTATATCTAATATTTACTACAGGGGTCCCTCAATTCACTTAACTATAATTTCTCTCTATATTGCAGGAATATCTTCTATTATGGGAGCAATTAATTTTATCTCTACAATTATATATATATATATATATATATATATATATATAATATCAAATTGATCGAACTAATAGTGGGATTATATCTATAGATAAAATCCCACTATTAGTTCAATTTTAATTACCGCCATTCTACTTCTTTCTCTCCCAGTACTCGCCGGAGCAATTACCATATTACTAACAAATCGAAATACATCATTCTTTGATCCATCTGGAGGTGGAGATCCTATTTTATACCAACACCTATTTTGATTTTTCGAACACTCTGAAGTTTATATCGGAGTATATAAGGGTAGCGAAACTACCCTTCTTCTTCTTCTTCTGGTCAGTGGATTCCCGATTTTTTGTAAAAATCACAATATTACGCTTCCAAGTAAAGATCGCTGGGCTGAAACGGGCCAGTCAGACCAAAGCATCATTTTAATAAAACTACCCTTCAAATACTGAGCGTCTGCGACCATGATACCACGCGACCAGTATTATAGATCGGTAATGAGGTTCGCATTTCGTGAATCTCGTGTTTGTCTGACGAAACATAGACTGCCGTGGTAGAAATTAATAGTGTACAACGGTCTTGATATGTACCAGTGCATGTTGGTGTTCCCAGTCGAAATTGCTATTATTGTACCATCGGCATTAGCATTATGCAATGTGTCCGACCGATAGCTAAAATCTCTTGAATGTTGTTCAGGATCACATTTATCAAGATCAAGGCCATTGGAGGTTATTGTTTTACCAAGATATTTTATATTTTGTCAAAATATTGAAACTTTTAAGTTTTATAACTTAAAAAGTTCTTAATAAAAAAATATTTGATTATATTATAATATTTTGGAAAGCTCTCGAGATAAGCTATAAAAGTATGCAATGAAAAATAGGGTGTACCATTTGAAAAAAAATCAATATGATCTTTATATGACTCTCAAACGACTATTCAAAGTCAAACCAATGACACAATCTTATGTACACCTCGAAACCATACAACTTTTGTTTGAAACGTTTTTTTCTTAAATGCTCTGTTTCTGAGATAAAAAAGGAATATATGGGTGATGTCAGACACCCGGTATATATACGTATACTAGATACATATAGCACAGAATTGCTTGCAGTATTGTTGAAAATATTGCTGTAATATTGCTAAAATAATCTACTATATGGGAAATAATAATAAACATTTATATTATAATAACTTAAGAATAAATGTATACTTACCATTTACACTTAATAATATGTCAGGAAGATGTTAAATTTCGCGGTTATGCTTCGCGCGCATATGATTCTAGGCGAATCCACATTCCGCGATGTGAAAGAAGCCAATAACAAGAAAGTTGCTTTATATTGAGTTGCATTATTGGCTATTATCATGTGTTTAGGTAAAAGAGCTTTGTTAGTGCGTTCTGAATACGAGCACTAACAAATGTACATATATCTTGCGTATTTAGAAGCGAAGATGTAAGTGCATATGTCAGCGTTCTGAATTCGGGCCTGAGAGTATAGATATAAATACATTTTTGTATTAGCAATATTTTATAGTAATAATGTTTTTAGTAATAATCCTATTTCACCTGTCATACAATTACTGGTCCCTATAAGATTTTATGCAACTGGAAGTTATTTGATAACTGTTGCTGATTTTTGCGGAATAAGTGGATCAAGTGCTCAAAGGATCGTTCATCGAGTGTCACCTATTATTGCTGCATTAAACAATGAGTTTATAAAACTTCCTATGTCAGCAGAACAGATTCGTCAAAACCAAAAAGAATTTTTTCAAACAGCAAAGTTTATTAATGTTATTGGTTGTATGGATTGCACTCACGTAAGAGTTGAATCATGTGGTAAGAAAAATGTAATATGTAAAGATAATCTTTTTATTAGAAAACACTGCTTACACGTATTTTCTTTACTTTTTTAGGTGGAAGAGGAAATGAATTACATCGAAATAGAAAAGGCTATTTTTCTTTAAATATATAAGATACAAGTAGTTGTTAACGCAAGATTAGAAATAATTGATATAGTTGCACGTTGGCCAGGATCTGCGCATGATGCAACTATTTTTGATCACTCAAGGATCAAAAATTTATTTGAAGCAGGCACATTCGGTGATGGTTTGCTTCTTGCAGATTCTGGATATCCAAATTTACCATACGTGATGAGTCCATTACACTATCCAATAACTCTATCAGAACACCTTTACAATGAAGCTCAAATTAGAACTCGCTCAATAGTTGAATGATTTTTGGGAATTTGGAAGGAGAGATTTGCAGTTTTATCGATTGGAATGCGTTTTCAAACAATTGAAAAAATACTTTCTATTATTATAGCGACAGCTGTATTACACAATATTGTCCAACAGAATATTCAACCAGATCGAGTGCATATTGATCTCCATGCATACAATAATGTTGTTGCAGTAATGCAAAATATAGATAATGGGAATGTCCATGATAAACGACGAGTAATTGTGGAATATTTTGGAAGGTAATGTTAATATAGAAATGAATCTTAAAAAATATATGTCAACAATATTAAAGAATTTTAATATTGTTGATATATATTTTTATAGGTGGCACCCAGTTGGACACGGCTCAATTGGACACGAGCCACTCACAGCGCTTGACACTACAAAGCTCCTAAGCACCGGTCGCTGTGATTGGTGGTGTCCAATCGAGACGTGGTCAATCGGGATCACCCCAAGAATTTGTTTTAAAAATTACCGGTTGATTTGAACACTATTATTAACATCGGAATCAAAAAGCTTCAGCAATTCATATGTTGCATCTATTATTTATCTGGCACGTTCATAAAAAGTATTGTTTTTGTTATTTCTCTGCCTACAAATATTATAAAACCCTCAATAATTAGTTTCTTTATTATCTCATTGATAAATTTATAATTATTATGATCATTTGAAATATATAATTAAAAATATTTGAATGTAACATTATGATGATACACATTCTATTTCACACATATATTTGTCCTTGAAATATAATGAATAACTCAATTATAATTTAAAAGATTTATTTCTTTCATCTTGTATTTATAACATACTTTATATTTATATTTTGTGTCTTTACAACTTGTATTACATGCATAAACAAACATGAGAAAGGAAAGTGTTGTTTCCTTTATTTGATGTATAAAATAGAAATAATAAGTACTTATACGCACATACATAATAGTACTCATTATTTATATTTTATACATCAAATAAAGAAAACATTGTTTTTTCTAATAACATAGAAAAATACTACTTTCCGGTTTTGTAACATATATAGTAAGTACTTTACTTTTCTTTCACATTTCTAACACAAAAAAAATATAACTTTTCACTCTTCTTACATATAAAGAGTAATACTTTTCTGATACATAAAAAAATACTTTCCTCTTTTATAACATATGTAATAAATACTACTTTCAAAAGAATTACAACAAACAAATACAACTTTTCTCTCTTCTTATATGTAAAAAATAATACTTCTCTCTCTTTGCCATATAAAAAAATTATTTTCTGTTGTAACATAAAAATTTCTTAGCAATAAAAAGTATAACATATTGTATAACATGAGTAAAGTATAACATGAACTATATCATATTAATATAAGTGATAATTAGCATAAAATATTTTTTGCATAAAAATTATATTAGGAATATCTTAAACCTGTGCTTAACCCATTTTTGTTAGTAACCTTTTATAGCTTAAAATGAATATTTAAATTTTCTTCTTTAGTATTTTGTTTCCTTGATTTTTCTTTTTCAATCAATAAGTATGACAGTTCAATTTTAAGTTTTTCTTTTTGTAACTTATTCTTTAATATTTCTATTTCGTAAATATGTTTCTCTTTCATATTTGTTTTTAATATATATGTTAAATTAGTCTTTGCCTCATCTAAATTGTTCTTCTAATGTGTTCATTACTACTCCCATATTTTTTTCTTTTTCTTATGTTTTGTGTTGATACTGGTGATATGTCTTCTTTATCTTTTAGTGGCGGACTTATTTTTGACTTTAATTTATTTGGATCCCAACTCTTCCAGTCAGTGATTTTATCATTATTTATTAGATACTAAAAGTTTAAAATACATTAATTGCAAAGTTTATATTTTCGAATAAGTAACAATAACTTACTGAAAATACTTCTGCTGGATCATTTTCATTACATTTCTCCAAATCATAAATATTTTCTTTATTCCTAATAACTTCTTTCTTATCAATATCTCCGTCATGAAGACATTCTACACGTACACAATCGGAATCAAAAGGATATAATAATCCCCCACAGCTGTTTCACCCATAATATCTTTGGCACGTTCATACAAAGTATTTTCTTTTACGTTAACCTCCACCTACAAATGTAATAAAACGCTTAAATAATTATTAAAATTTAAATTATTATTTATAACCGCAATGAGAATTTTATACCTGTCTTATATATTTCTCGTTTCAAAGTCGCATAATACTTTCTTGTGTTTCTTTTTATATTGTCCCAACAGTTACGTAAAGCTTTTTCTGTTCGTAAATCAGTCTTATTTGTATTAAATTTCTGCGTAATGGTAGCCCACGCTTTATCTTTCATTGAATTTGACAAACCATCAGTCATTTTATTTTCAATTATATCCTGATATAAAAAAATTATATCTAAGAGATCACTTTTATCTCTTTCTAAAAAATTCTTTACTCTTTGTATGCCATCATTTCCCTGCCTGCACTATACGTAACAGAAACGTGCTATTTTGGTCGCAAAGTCGCAGAAAATATGTATCGTCTCTTGCACATCGCAACGACGTGCATAGACATGCTATTTTGGTGGCAAAATCGCAAAAAATATGTAACGTTTTTTGCACGTCGCATAGACGTGCATAGAGAATATAATGTATAGTTGGCAAAATTGATTCTCGAAGAATCTATGGCGGTGTTTAGCGCGGATAAATATAGGAGTCAGATTAGATTAAGTGTACAAACGACAGTGTACAATTAAAAAGTAAGTAATTGTTTTTTATTCTTTTATAATTATAATTTTTGCGTATAGTTTCTCTACGCATAATATTTTCTTTTTCCGCTATTTTCAAACTGAATAATACTAATCGATAGAAAATTTGTTGAGGATCCTAACCCTATTTGCTACATTAATGGTTTTTAATATTTCGACAACAAAAGACTTCATATATGACATGATCATAAATGAAGCCTATTGGATAAAATATCAGATTAAGCCTAACCACAAGTTAACTTAACCAGATAATGAAAAATGATAATGAAAAACCGAGTCTTAGGTCGCAAATAGGTGCTCAACACGTTGCATAAAGTCACAAATATTCGTCACTGCGACGTCGCTGTCACAAAAAATTTGACTGTTAGTCACGTGTCAACAACGTGTCTATTACGTTTCGAGAAGTCGCTGCGACGTAACGTGTGACGAGTTGGCACGTCATAGAGACGTGTTTGTCACGTATTATGCAGGCAGGGTTTCTTATTACTTTATATATGTATCTTAAAAATTTTATTTAAATTGACTTTTTAATAATTTCCATTCACACTGGATACTTTGCCTAAAATAACACGACAGGAATATTAGGTTAAGGTGCTCAGTTATAACAGATACGACTGATTCGTTTTATTACGTTAGCACTACCGTAATCGTCGATTAGCTTAAGGCTATATATAATATGCTAAAGCCTCCTGTTTTACCACATTTTCATTCGGTGAAAAATCTCCGTATTGGATGTACGGATTGCAAAAATATTATTACTTAAATTAAAGTATGCACAAACAGGATCTCAGCTGCACTGGATTTCATCATGGTATAAGAAAGAAGGTATATCAACATCAAGTATGCGCAGTAGTCCTATGTGCTTGACCAATAAGAATTGGGTCCAAATCATCGACATCTAGAATGGACCGCTGATGGCAATGGTGGGGGTAGAAAGACGATTAGAG